AGTTCGTTGATTAATTTATGCTTTTCAAGTGGTACGAATCCCCGGCAATTATTGATTCCTAAATTTTTCCCCCTATGGAAGTTAGGGGGTATTGGTCTTAGTTTTAACTAAGGACCGTCACCCGCTTTGAAAAAGGTATACATTTTCCATTTTCCCCCTTATCGGCACCAGCCAGTTTGTAGTGTAGTTGAAAAGATTAGCCCAAAAGGGTTTTCTAAGCTCCTCTTTTCTTCCCTTTGAACCCCTTTCAACAGTTCATCAGGCCTGGGGATTTTTGGTTTTAATTTTCATCTGCAAGGACCCTGTCACTTGTGACCTAATGTGCACAGTTTTTATCGTCCTTTCGACAATTTATCATTTTTGGAATATGCTGGTTTCCCCCTGTGTAAAAAAATGAGAGGAAGTATTTTTAAAAAATTCTACAATTTCCTTATCCTGTCGTAGTGACCCGAGGGCTTTTGAGTGGGCCTATCTTGTCCCCGATCTTCTTTGTATACCTGAAAATCCTTTTGGGGTTTGTCTTCGAATCTCTTGCAAATTTTAAACCCCAAATCTCTTTTTGCTTTTTAATTCCTTTTTTTTTTTCTCTTTAATGAATATATCGATTTTTTAATTGCCCTCTCCCCCTTTTTTATTTGCCTATATATGCCTTCTTTTTCCCTTAGATATTTTAATCTTTTTCATCCATTTAGGAGGATACGATAGAGGGAGATTCTTTTGGAACGAAAAAAGTTAGGGGTCTGAACAATAACATTGATAGTAGAGAATTTTAACTTTAGTCAAATTGACTGGATTTCTTTGACTGGTAATCTAGAGTCCAGTGACTTTATGGAAACAGTTCAGGACTGTTTTCTGAAGCAGTGTGTAACAGAGCCTACCAGGGGTAATAATTTGCTAGACCTAGTCTTGTCAAATAAGGAAACACTAGTAAATAATCTGGAGATCACTAAAGAGCTTGGCGCAAGTGATCACAAATCCATCACTTTGAGCATTAACTGGGAATACAAGAATAATGATAATACAGTAAAAATCCCTGATTTTCGTTCTGAAGATTATAATGGACTTAAGGAACACCTGTCAAATCTCGATTGGGATTATCTAGCTAATGATTTTATTGACGATGATCATACTTATGGTTACAAAAGGATCTCCATTTATGATTTTTTTTCTTAATAATGTACACCGCCATCAGAGTATATACATTCCCCAGAGAGAAATTAGGTCTAATAATAACGATCCCAAATGGGTTAACAGGAAGCTAAAGCATCTATTAGGGGAGAAAAGGGGAATTTATTGGCGCATCAGAAGAGGAGAGGTTAACCTTACTGACCAATATGTTCAGCTTAAAAGAGAAGTAAAAAAGGCGATTAGAAAGGCTAAACGTGATTATGAAATTAGAGTTGCTAATGAATCAAAAACTAACCCAAAGGGGTTCTTTCAAGTGTATAGGACGATGGTGAAGGAAAAAGGTAGGACCTCTGAAAATTGGGAATGGACAGCTGACGGATAACGAACTGGAAATGTGTTCCTTATTTAATGACTATTTTTTTGTCACTTTTTACACAGGAATACATAAATGAGATTCCAGAAATTAACAGTTATTCAGTTCCTGACGAATTCAAATTGATTAATATTACAGTCACGAGGGTCATGGATATCAAACAAATAGACAAATTGAAGCAAAATAAGTCCCCGGGACCCGACGAGTTGTTTTCCAGGGTACTTAAGGAATGCAAGATGGAATTTAGTCAGCCATTAACGAGTGTGTTTAATGCGTCCATCCTTACTGGTGTTGTGCCAGAGTTGTGGAAGATGGCTAATGTGGTTCCTATATTCAAATCAGGGGATAAGTCCTTTCCTTCAAATTACCGTCCAATAAGCCTGACATATATAGTTGGCAAGTTACTAGAATCAATTATGAACATGAGATCATAAGAAAGGAGGAACACTGCAACAGGCCTGTTGGCCCATACTAGGCAGGTCCTTTACAATCCTTCCCACTTACAAAATATTTGTGCAAGACAGGTATACAATACTGACAAGATGAAAGTTAAGACACTTGTGCAACATCTGGTTATGTGATGAATGGTTTTGAAAACCGACAAGTTGAAGAATTGAGACACTTATGCAACATACGGGAATTTTTATTGAAGAAACGTTTCGCCACACAGTGGCTTCATCAGTCCAATACAAAGTAGAAATGATTAAGGAGAGGAAGGAATTTGAGGTAATCGGTCCCTCAACCTGGAATCGATGTGTTCAGTCCATCACTCTTGTAGGAGGTACAGCATAGGTATGTATGTATAATGTTCGCCAAAACCGTTGTCCTGGCACGGGTCTCAATCTTACGATAACCCGTCTCTGGCTCCCGAGGGAGAAAGGTTTCTACAATGGTGAGACGTATGCTGCTCAGGCACTCTTCTGGTCAGTTCAACTGATGTATCTCATAAGCCACAACACCATATGTACTCCTAACTGTGGACACTAGCGAGGAGGAGGATATGTCGTTATCACGGGCAACAGCTTGTCTGGTTCGTTGACTCCATGGTACACTAGTTTGGCGGCAGTCATCTCTGGGTCCTCTTCGGGAGAGGATATTAGTGCTAGTTGCCTGCGGAGTGTCTCAGTAACTTCGCACTCCAGAAGATAGTGCGTTAGGGGGCCCTGGACAACGTGCTGGCAGTACTGGCACATCTCAGCCTTATCAACCATCATCTTGGCTGTGGGAAAACCCAAACGAAGCTGATGGATGGCGGTACACTGCGCTCTGGACCAGCTTCTATCATATGGGGGGGGGTTCTCTCTGAGTCGCTGCTCGGTACCACTGTTGAGATGGGGTATCACCTAAGACCTCCTCCATAAGTTTCATTGCTTTGGCTGCCATCAGTTTGGTCTGTCGTAGGCTGATGGGGACAGTAATCCCAACATGTGGATAGTCTGTGGCTGCTTTGGCTGCATCATCTGCCGCCTCATTTCCCCGGATGCCAGCATGGCTGGGGATCCAGTTCAATGACGATCTGTTACCCTGAACCTCTAAGGCTGTCATTATGCTCAGGATCAATGTGATGAGGTGAACATTGTCCTGTGATTGAGGATGGGAGAGGGCATTGATTGCAGAGGTGGAGTCAGCATGTATGACAGATCCAAGTCGAAGCCGTAGGACACGTGACAGTGCCTGCTGAATCGCCACCAGCTCAGCTTGAAGGATCGTGCAGTGGTCAGGGAGTTGCCAGCCTTGTGTGTGACCATTGTGGTACAGTCCAGCTGCTGCTCTCTTCTTGTCAGGGTCGACAGAACCATCTGCGAAATACACTGCATATGTGCGTCCCTCTGCCAGTGTCATGCTTGTCTCAGCATTATTGCTGAGGGTGTCTTGCCTTCAGAGACGCTTAGAGATAGGCAGTTGCTTGACGCAAACATCGGCCGGATCTGGGCGCCAGGGAGGTGGTGTTGTGATACCCAGCAACAGGAAGGTTACAACTCTTCTCTAGGAGTAGTTGTATAGGCAGCAGCTTCCGCCCAACAGCACAAAATGAACAAATCCAGGAGTAGTCCGTGAAGAGAGTTGGATCTTGTGTCATGGTTGCCAATATCCGTCTCTTAGTAGGGTACCTTGCTGCCGGTGCAGAATCGTGGCTACTTTGTAGGCGTTTATGTATCTTACTCTGTCAGCCAGGAAAGGAAGCCTGGCCTCAGATCTGAGAAATACTGTGTTAGTCCTGATGGGGGCCCCAAGCACAGTTCTTATCACCTGATTTTGTACGACCTCCACCCTTTGCCTGCTCTGCGGGAAGAGATGAGCAAACGCTGGTGCACCGTAATCTATGAGCGAGCGTGTAGCTTGCATATAGCACAAGCGAAGTACATTTTTGCTTGCCCCTGCATGGTGCCTCGTCATGGCTATCATGGCGTTGAGTCTGAGTAGAGCACTGGACTTCACATACTAGACCTGTTTCTGAAACGTCAGCTTTTTATCAATGTAGATTCCCAAGTATAGGTAGGAACCTGTCCACTCAAGTTTTATACCCTGAATACGTAATCTATTCACAGGATCTGGTCCCTTCAACATCATTGCAAGAGATTTCTCGGCCGAGATCTTGAGGCCTAATTCCTTGCAAGACTGTGTAATTAGGTCTAAAGCTCTCTGAGCCTGTCGCTCCAAATTGCCTTTCCCATTCACTACGAGGGCAAGATCATCAGCATAGCTGAGGAGCTGTGTACCACATTTCTCAGTGCGAAATTAGGAGTTGTGCAATGTTGCAAGGGAGCACCTACGCTACTCTGAGACCTCTCTACCTGCCTTGGTTGCTCCATTGCAACATTGCACAGCTCCTGATGATGCACTGAGAAGTGTGAAAGTAATTGAGCTAAAGATTTCCACCTCCCCGTGGCTTGTCCTGCATATCTATATATATTATATATATATATATATATATATATATATATATATATATATATATATATTTATATATATATATATATAATATATTTATATATATATAGGTAGTAGGTTGGTAGACAGCAACCACCCAGGGAGGTACTACCGTCCTGCCAAGTGAGTGTAAAACGAAAGCTGTAATTGTTTTTACATGATGGTAGGATTGCTGGTGTCTTTTGTCTGTCTCATAAACATGCAAGATTTCAGGTATGTCTTGCTACTTCTACTTGCATTTAGGTCACACTACACATACATGTACAAGCATATATATACACACACACACCCCTCTGGGTTTTTTTCTATTTTCTTTCTAGTTCTTGTTCTTGTTTATTTCCTCTTACCTCCATGGGGAAGTGGAACAGAATTCTTCCTCCGTAAGCCATGCGTGTTGTAAGAGGCGACTAAAATGCCGGGAGCAAGGGGCTAGTAACCCCTTCTCCTGTATATATTGCTAAATTTAAAAGAGAAACTTTAGTTTTTTCTTTTGGGCCACCCCTCCTCGGTGGGATACGGCTGGTATGTTGAAAGAAAGAAAAAGAATATATAATATATATATATAGACATGTCTGTCAACAGAAGCTCTGTGAGGAGCACAAGGCTGGATTTCGACGCTGATAATCCAAGAGACTTCATAGACTTCTACATCAACGAACTAACAAAAGAAAATTCGAGCAAGACACAACATTCACAGGTTAGTTGTATGTATTTCCTGTTGTGTGAAGCAGTACCAACTCTTGTGTACTTGGGATCACATCTGTATTGTTTCCTTCTCGTAGACGATCAACTAGTTTGCCATATGTCGGCCGTGTTCAGCGCTGGAGTAGACACTGGATCGTCAACTGTGTCTTTCGCCATATTACTGTCAGTCCTGAACCCACACGTCATGCGCAAGATGCAGCAAGAGCTGGACAGTGTGGTAGGCAACGTTCGTCTTCCCTCCATGAATGATCGTACAAAGTGAGTGCCTCCCACTAGTTACTTGTACACCAAACGCTCTTCTTCCCATTTCCCTTCCATATATAGCTACAACATGTGATACCCATTTCTGTTTTATTTATATTTCGTTGGGGAAAAATCATGATACATCCGTTAATCAAATAATGACCCACTCATCGTTATGAGGGCTTTGAGAGCTTTTATTTGCTTATCGAGTATCACCACACATTACCGCAACACACCACGCACGCACGCAAACACACACACACACACACACACACACACACACACACACACACACACACACCACACACCACACACACACACAAACAATCACACACCACACACACACCACACCACACACACACACCAACACACAACACACACACACACACACACCACACACACACACAACGCAAGAAGAGCTCACTCCAGCAGCGCAAAGTTTGTGTGGTTTATTGGGGAATTTCAACCACAGGTGAGATGACTGGGAAAACCTGGGAGGCCACATGGGGGGTCCGAAACATGGAGAGCCTGGGATGTTGGACGTGGGTGCTGGGAAAAAACCTCATTAACAACAGTTAAGGACCACTACCAGAGTGAGAGGGGAGATGAACCAGCAAGATAGGACCTAGTGTTCACCCTGGGGCAGTAGATATTGAGGACATCAAGTATGAGAGTCCCCAAGGGAGCTAGCTACACGATGGTTCTCTGTGCTTTTGATACATTGTAGAGCTGCAAGTGGAGAGATAACAGGAGTTGAATGAGGAAAAGCCTGATATAAAAGAGGGGGACTTCATAGGGTTGAAGTACTTCCTGCGGGAGGTCCAGTGGGACTGAGAATGGCAGGAAAATAAAAAAAAAAAAAGCCGTAAATGAAAGTGGAATATGTAACAACAAAAATGCAGGGAGGCAGTGGAAGGTTTTATCCCAAGGGCACCAGTAACAACGGGAAGACCAGACACGAGCCCTGGTTTACCCGACGGTGTAGGGATGGCAAAACAAAGCTGCAATAGAGCAATGGAAAAAGTACAGGAAGGCAGGAAAACACGAAATTAGGGAGATCATCCGCAGAGCCAGGAATGTGTACGCACAGGTATGGAGGGAGGCCCAGCGATCAGTATGAAATTGACATAGCATCGAGAATAAGATGTGAAACAAGATTCAATTATATTCTGTCGACATGTGACTTGCTTGTTATACTTTCTCACACTGTTGAAAATCAATTGGTGGTTAAACTCTCTTACACTTTAACTAATAGAGATTGGACTACTTGTCAAGTTCTAATGCTATATTTATGTAGTTTTAATCGTTAGTTCGAGATTTTTACCAGTTTGGACCCGTATTAAACACTTTATCGCAAATTTTTCAAGGAAATCTTTTAGAACTTCCATCAGTATTTGTGGGGAATAAGTCTTAATCAAAGAGTTTTTTTACTGTTATCAAGATTTTTGAATACCCAACTTTAATATTAAAGTCCTTAATGAAGAGAATGCATATCAACGAAGTTCATGGTAAGGGGGAACCAACATATTTTTAGTTGATTAAGGCTGGTTGCCCTTTTTGGGATTTATAAAAAGTGTTCCTAGCAACTTTATAAAGATTTATCAATTACATTTCCTTGGGGTATTTTAAATACATGACCTATTTATAAATTTGGATATTTCACTCATCTATGAATCAGGGGACTTACAAATTCGTTAAAGCTCCCAAAAACATTGATGAGAAAAAACAGACAGTTTGGATCATCTTGATGCGAGGATTAATAGTGGAACAATAGGAAATCAGTTATTTTGTAGGTTTTCTGTAAATTTTATAATTTGTAGCTCATTTATTACCCTTAAATAATTAAATCTCTAGAAATTGCATTGTAGTTTTATTTTCTTCAAACTCAACAGTAAAGTTGTTTAGAATGGCGCCAAGCTATTTTAATTTCAAGAAATGTCTGTATATCTACATTTTTGGGAACAAGACACATAATATTCATAAAATATCTGATCCATTTAGCTCTATTAGGGAGGATTGTGTTAAGCAACCTGTTTCAAAATTTCCTTTGTATAGGTTACTAGAAAGGTGAAGAGGATTTCCCATTGCCATTACCAAACTTCTGAGTGTAAAACATTATCATTAAATACAAATTTTGCTTCAACAATGCAAAGTTTAATAAGTTTATGATGTAGGAACATGGCAATGGTAAATCATAGTTAACGAGTTCTTCAGATAGAAACTTAAATATAATCATCAACAGAACTTTCGTAAACAAGGTAAGTATCATCAAAACTAACCATGGTTAAAATATTTAAGTCAGTCATGGAGTTTACATTTATCAACCAAGTCTTATGTTGTTTTTGTTTTAAAACATAGACGTGGTTTGATAAAATAAACTCCTGACTGACTTAAATGATTTTAACTTGGTTATTTGTTTTGATGTTACTTCCTTGTTTACGAAAGTTCCTGTTGATGATTTATTAAGTTTCTTATTGAAGAACTCTCGATTAACATGATTTACCATTGCCAGTTCTCCTACTGTCATTAAACTTATGACAACTTATCATTTGCTTTGTTGATGCAAAATTTGTATTTAATGATAAGTTTATACACTCAGTAGTTTGGTTTATGGCAATGGGAATCCTCTTTTCACTGTTCTTTGTAACTATACATGGAATTTTTGAAAACATGTTGCTTATCACAATCCTCTATTATGAGCTATATGGTTCCAGATATGTTGGGATGATATTTGTGTCTTATGCCCTAAAAATGTAGATATTTACAACATTTTCTTGGAAAATTAAATAGCTTAGCCCATTCTATAACATTACTGTTGAGTTTGAGAAAAATAAAATCCATGGCCTTTTCTAGATGTTTTAATTATTAAGGGTGAATAATGAATTCAAATTTAAAATTTACAGAAAACCTCAAATTAATGTTCCTTATGTCACTATTATTCTAGCATCTAATGTACTAGAGGTCAACACTGTCTGTTTTCTACATAGTTTTTGAGAAGCTTTAGAATTTGTAGTCCTGCAGTCTCATAGATGAGGAAATATCCAAAATTTTTGAAATTGGTAATGATTTAAAATAACCCAAGAAATGTAATGAGTAAAACGTCTTTTAAAGTTGCTAGGTAACACTTATTAACCAAAAAAGGGCAAACAGGCCTTATTCAACTAAAAATATGTTGGTTCTCCTTACCATGAAAAACTTGGTTGATTATGGCCTTCTCCTTCTTAAGACTTTAATATTAAAGTTGGTATTCAAAAATCTTGATACAGTAAAAAAACTTTGATTAAGAATTCCCCCCAAAATACTGAAGGATGTGTCTATAATGATCCTTGTAAAAATTTGCGATAAAGTTCTTATTACGGTCTCTCAAACTGGTAAAATATCTCGAATAAGATTAAACAACATAAATATAGCATTAGAAAGCTGGAGCAATGATTTCAATGCTCTATTTATTCATGTAAGAGATTTTAACCATCCAAATTGATTTTCATAATAGTTGGAGAAAAGTAGTATCAAGAAGTCCAATGGTCGTAGGAATATAATTGAATCTTGTTTCATAAAAAAGCGTTTTGACTATTGTTTTGATATTTCCTTTGGTTTATATAAATTAGATCCATTTATAATTATACGAATTTGGGGGGTAGAATTTAATATTACAATGGAAATAAATAGCTTTGGGGGTGAATGTTTAGAAAGGACCTGTCCAAGTTGGCTTCGCGCGCGTCACGTGTTTAAACCGTTGGTGGGATTGATAGGGAGGTGAGGCCGACCCCTTATATAGCTTCCTTGGCATGCTTCACTATTCATAGTTCCTCTGATAATGGTGAGTAGTCACGAAAGCCAGCTTGGAATTTCTCTATTCTTTCAGAGTGGTTGTTTTGAGATATACTATAATAATTATATATATATATATATATATTTATATATATTTATATATATATTTATATATTAATATATATATATATATATATTAAGAAAAAAGAGGATAAATTAAGTATTACAAGATAATGATGTAGGGGGCGAAATTTGACAGTAGTTTGTTGGATTATGTATTGGGTAGATAAAAGACTGTTGAGTAGACTTCAGGATGTACATTGTTTATAGAGGGGGCCACAGATATATCTGATCACTTTCTAGTTGTATGCTACACTGAGTGTAAAAGGTAGATGGGATCAAGGAGAATAGAAGCATCAGGATGAGGAGAGGTGAGGTTTATAAAACTAAAGAGGAGGCAGTAGGGTGAGATATAAACAGCTATTGGAGGATAGATGCTAATGAGTGCATTAGGCAATGGGTCGAAGAGGTAGGGGTAGGTTTAAAAATGTAGTGATTTAGAGTTGTTTGCAGAAGTGTGGTTACAGGAAAACGTGGTGTGGGGAGGAAGAGGAACTGTGATTGGTGGAATGATGATTGTAAAGAGACATAGTAGGGAGGAAAAAGTAGGCATATGAGAAGTTTAGACAAAGTAGAAAAGTGATGCAAGGAGGGAAGAGTATATGAGAGAAAAAGAGAAGAGGTTCAGTGAGTGGTGAAGCAATGTTAAAAAGAGAGCAAAAATAAAAAAATGACGATGAGTGGGTGAGATGTTTATCCAACAAATTTTGTGAAATTAGAAAAATGTTTTGGAGTGAGATTAACAGTTAAAGAAAGCCTAAGAGAACAAATGATTTTCAGTTAAAAATAGGGAGGAGAGTTATTAAATGGAGAGTTAGAGTATTGGGAAAAGATGGAGGGAATATTTTTGAGCGAATTAGTTTAAATGTTGAATGAAGATAGGGCAAGCTGTGATTTCGTGTATAGGGCAAGGAGGTAATAACATCTTGTAAGGTGTGAGGAAGAAGCAGTTGTGAGTGTGGGGGAAGTTGAGAGGCAGTAGGTAAAATGAAAAGGGGGTCAGGCAGCCGGGGATGCTGGGATAAAGATAGAAATGTTAAAAGCAGGTGGGGATTATAGTGTTTTGAAGTGGTTGCTGCAATTATTTAATAAATGTATGGAAGCAATGGTAAGGTACCTAGGGA